TATACCATATACTGTAAATGTTTATGACATCAGCGCACAAACTTATCATGTTTTATAGGTCCTGAAGGATAAAGGGAGAGAAAGAGAGAAATTAAGGAAAATTAGGAATCAGGAGTAAAGTACACACACAACTAGATTTCCAAGAAGTCCTGTTGCCAGAGACATAAACCAAATTATCTCATCTTGAAACTGGAGAGGCGGGGAGGGAGAAGGGAGAGAAGGTAGTGGGCAAAACACTGAATTTGATCTTACAGTCATCTCTTCCCAAGATACAGCAGTCAACATAAATGAGAAAGACCAGGGTATCACCACAGAATATGCTACTGGTATCTCAGCAAAGAGTTGCCATTCACCTTATGGGTATAAATTCAGCCTTTGCTTTACATACTGAAATACTGGGCCTAAGATTAACTTGAACTTTTTCTGTCCTTAAATTCTGCACTACCTAACTGATCAGGCTAACTGATCTGAATTCAAATTTTGCCCAATTTTGAATAGCTTTGTGTGCTTTGAAGAAAGCCCTAACTTAGTCTAACTTATAGGGTAACTATGATGGTAAAATGAGATACAATCAGTGTTCACTATGGGTATGAGATTTATCACATCTTGAATGGGGGAATGAAATAAACCAATATTTAACAATAACATTTTCATGCCGTATTATACTAACATACCAATATCAAACTAGCTTCAAATATACTGTTAATAATTGCTCCAACAATTATTGTATTACTGTATTGGCTACATACAGTAATATCTTTTGACCCCAACGCATAGTTGTCCTTTGTCCTTTGACTCCTGTACTAGGCATTACTCTCCAAAACATGATAGGTGTGCCTACGACAAAAACTAAATGTTGTTTAATTTCATGTTAAGTTCATTAAAAGTGAATAGTTAATATGACTATTTTCTCATACATATTTAATAATTTACCTCTTTGGTCATGTTTGTTCATTAAACAACTTTTGTAGGTTTTTGGAGGCCACACCCAAGGTTTTTGAGGTTGAATACAGCCATGAGGCCCTAGGTATGTATGTCTGCTTTCATCTATAGTAATTAGCTAAAGCAGGTTTCCCTAATCTGTTAGCCTCCAAATGTATTGAGATATGATATCCAGAATTCCCAGCCAGGATGGGCAATTTCTATGGAGAAAGTTGAGCTAAAGCTTTACACCAGTTAATGTTTAGAACAGTTAGGAGCTGCAACTAGTGCTTAGTATAGAAGAAGTCATTACAGAGACTTTCCAGAATAGTATACATCCCAAGTACAACATCCCAGCAACTTCAGTAAAAGGGCAATTCAACAAAATAATTCCATAGCGTCCAACCTGACTGGTAGCAGTTTTCAAGGTTTGCAGACAGGATATGTTTCCCCAAACAGCTACAACTCCTTCCTTCAAGGGCAGGGGGCAGAGAGGATTCTTTCTGAATCAAACATGCTGCAAACTAAGCACTGGGCTACATGGACAAAAATCTAAGCCATCTTTGAATGCTGATACGATCATTTGTTTGATTTGCATTCCACTTTTCTGTCCAGAAGGCGCTGCTAGTGGCTTCATATATCTGTACCTAGATTTTTTAGGTTTGCACATCTGATCAAAGTTTATCACTTTAAATACTGCTCTGTTTTAAAAAGACACACCATGCAAATTCCAGAAAACTTTCCTAGCACCACATCATCCCCCTTAGTTAATCTGTGAGACCAAATAATTGCATTTTGGAGCCTCACAATCAGATTTCTGCTCAGTTTTGAAGACAATTTTGCAGGAGAGTTGCTTATAATTTATCTACCTCACACAGCAATTGGGAAACTATAAATATATCCATATGTCAATTTCCCTTCACACACATCTGAAAATATTCTAGAGTCATCTAATGAGGACCTTTTATGTATGGCACTGTCTTATAGGATGAGGAGTTGGCAACATTCTAGTGGACTTTTTCAATAGTACTATCCAAGATTCAGAACTTCTTGCCACAGAACTAAAATTGCTTTACTTCTGCTGCTATTCTACCATGGTTTCAGCAAGCATTTTCCTGTCTCTCTGAATTTTATGGATTTCAGTAGAAGCTGGTATTCTATTAGTTATTATATTATCAAGTCATTTAATATTATTTATTATACTTCAACACAGCTCCATTGATTTTATTAGAAGAATAACATTTTATGTTAATTTATGACATGTAATTAATAACGAAGTGTCTAGTGGTATCTTAAAGACCAACAAATTACTGTACTAAGTTTTCCCGTATTACAGATCATAAAACTTATATATAAATTTGATAGCGTTAAAAGGTCCCACATGACTCTTTACTATTTTTTGCTGCAAAAAAGAAACTAGTACAGGAAGGAGAAAATCAGATTTCCCTAAGCTGATACATTTGAAGAGCATCAGGTTGGGGAGAATTGTAACAAAAAGAACCACCATAAATAAGAGGAAAGAAAACAGAAAAAGCAGTTACGCTACTCCGAGGTATCTTGGAGAAAGAAGGGTGGGATTTAAAATAGTGGTAGGCGTGAAAAAAATATTTACTACATTTTTCTCCCCCCCCCCCTTTTTTCTGTTTACACTGCACTGAGTGTTAGAGTGTAAGTTTCGCTAAGGAAGGATTTCTTCTCTTGCAAACCATAAACACTGATGTCGCCAATAACAATCTTACGCTTCTTTCCCTTTCCTTTCATCTCCAAGGTGACGTACGTATGCTCATACTTCGCCCTCCCATTTCTCTTTCAACAACAGCCCTGCAAGGCTGCCTGAATATTAATTCACTAACGTATAAGGTTAATGTCAACGGTAATATTATTACCACAATACAAAAACGAATAATATGCTAATTTATCAGCTTCCGGTTTGGGGGGGCAAGGGGAGGGGACGGAGGTGCGGCCTCTTTCGCTCCCCAGACCCCGTCCATTCTCACCTGTTCTCCGCCGCTTCCTCGACCAGACCCAGCCGAGGGACAGGCTTCCCCCTCCAACTTCCCTCCGCCTTACCCGCTGCGTCCTCTCGGCTTCTTCCCGTCCCTTGACGGGTTTACGTCACTTCCGCAGGAGACATGCATCACTGAGCGCATTCGTGCCTTAAGCATCGAGTTCGAAATCTAAGCAAGGGCGAATGAATTGAAGCGCTTATGCGCACGCGCACCTAGGCGGCTATACAGGGTATATAGAAGTGCCGGAATAGCTGAGCAAGAAACTTTGATTTCTGGTCCATTGTTAAGCAGCCGGCTGAATGGATGAAGTAAGAAAGACGTTTTAGCTTCATTTTTTTAAATTTATATCAGCAAAAATAATAGGTGTCGAGTATCTTGTTCCCTGTTTCCTGCGCGCCTTTCCTATGAAACTGCTTTATTAGCTTGTTTTCTAAATTTATTTTAGCGATATAGACCACACCACTGCAAAGCTGAATACAGAAAGGAACCGTGAAAAAAGGACAGTTTACGATAAATATTTTGGGGAGGCCTCAGTAATACCTAGGAGTAGTAATAAAAATATTAAAACGATGATTACTGAAAACAGAAAAAATCGCTGTTTTATGTGGGCCATAGCATGTGCTAAAAGAGTAACCCGCTCTTGGGAATACAGTACACAAATATCTTATATTTTCTGCCTTGTTTTACCTGAGATCAATTGTAACCTAACTTCTCCCATTTCTTACACTTTAAAATTCCAATTGATGCAACCAGGGGGCAGAGCTTAACCAGTCCACACCCAGGGAGAGATTTCTTACCATTATTAAAAATACAATAGATGCACAGACTCAAATAATTTAGAAAAGAACCCAACAACTCCTGTACCAAATGTTTATGTCCTTACCCCACCTATGTAAGATCCAATTATGCCTGCCTACTTGGCAGATAAAACCACTTTTTTCATGCTCAGAGACATCCTTTTGGATGGGGTAGGATTAGATGGTTTCCAGTTCCCTATTTAAGCATTGTAGTAGTTCAGGTAGAACCAGTTTGGTGTAGTGGTTAAGGCACCAGGCTAGAAACCGGGAGGCTCCGAGGCACAAGGCCAGCTAGGTGACCTTGGACCAATCGCTCACTCTTAGCCCTAGGAAGAGGCAAGGGCAAATCACTTCTGAAATCTTGCCAAGAAGATGCAAGGACTTGTCCATGTGGCTGCCAGAAGTCAAAACTGACTTGAAGGCACAAAAAAATAGTAGTTTAGATATGACATTTAGAAGTCATCAAACTGGTAATCAAAATATAGAGATACCATGGTTGTTAAATGCATAACAAAGGTAATGCCCGCTGTACTTGCTCAGCAGAGCTATTTCAGTGGTTTCATGCAGTAAATGCTGAACAGCATAGGGGACAAAATGCAATCCTGAAGGACACCCCAAGCCAACCGCCAAGGCTTCATATCGCATATGCTGATTAGAGCATATGATTAGAGCATTCCCAAGCAGACTCATGAAGATTAGAGAGCAGATTTATGGCAGAGAATTAGGAACCCTTGCATATAAAAAGCTATCCATTAATAACATCCATGAATCCTGCCTTATGTATATGTCTGTCCCAAGGTTTGAAATCCTAGGTCTCTTTCTCCCACCTTTTCAGCTCAATGGAATCAAAGATTCCTGCCTTACCAAGTTTACTCTTACACCACTGGCCTAGATGCCAAGCAATCTTCTCCAGTACCACCTTCTGCACATATCTCAGTAGAAAAGGCCACAACCACTGGCCCTATCCTGCCAGTGTTGCAGAGATACATTAGTGAACCAACAGGGCTGCGCTCCCACCTAGTTGCTAGCGCAAATCATCTGTCAATTCCATCAAAACAGATTCAGTCCCATAACTTGATCAAAATCCAGTTAAATGGGTTCATGAAACCAGATGTGTCTGGAGTTGTGAAATTATTAAAGTATCTTTGCTAAATCATACCAAAGGTACATCTAATTCAGCAGTTTTTTTCATAATCTTCAGGAAGGCAGAAGGACATAATTTTATCCTTATCCTCCATATAGTTGCTATCTACAGATAAGTAATCGTGAAGGTTTCATGTTTATACTAGACAACCCGTGACCCATTTGGTCATTGTTTCAGAGATATTTCCTTACCTAAACAGAGAAACAGAATGACCAAAGGCAAAAAAGGAGTGGGAGTGACTTATGACTTGCTGCCAGCTTCTCTATTGAGTGTGCTTGCAGGAAGCTGGCAGAGAGCATCAGAAATCCTTCCTTCCCTCCTCCCTCCCTTCCTCCCTCCCTCCCTCATATAATATAGGCTTGCGCCATTTGTCCTCCCTTCACGACCTTCAGGAGTCCTGGTGAAGCCTCCTCCTGTTCATTGGCTGACCCACGGAACTGCCTGCCACTTTGCTGGGGGGAGGGGGAACAAAGGGAGCTGTGGACCGTGAGGTAAGCTGCACCCTTGTTCCCCATTCCGGCATGTCCCAGAGGGCCCCCTCCCTCGAGAAAGGGAGAGGGCTCACCCATCAACCACTGGTGCCCCCCCAGCCAGCCCTACCTCGCCTTCAGGCATCCAAATCACTCCCTCCTCCCTCCCTCAACACCAACCACCGTTAAGTTTTAAATTTCAAATTTCTGCCTCATTTCCAAAGCAGCCAATTGCCACTTGCCGGTTGGGCCGTGCTGTCAGCCGATTTGGCGCAGGGGATGGAGGGAGGCAGGAAAGAGGTTGGGGATACGCCCATGATGATCATGTGACCTGGGCTGACCAAGGTGGCGCAGCAGCACAGCAGTGCTGAAGCAGCCACAAATTACCCAAATTTCAATCCCACAGGAATAATGGGTCCCAGATTTTGGACATTCTGTAAGTTAGCCCATTTGAGGTACTTCGATTCAAAAATTGTTGCCCTATGATGCACCGTTTCACCGGCTGAAGGTTACAGACACGAGAGTTTTAGTAAAACGCATATTTAGAAAAACACATTTCAGCAACATTTCCTGCAAACCAGTTGTGGCCTAGCCACTGAAGTGTTGTATGAATCCAGCCTGTGATTTGTTTAGGGCTCTTTATGTCCCCTAAACCCAGAAACCTGGATTAAGATACCCTGAGTGTCATGTTTTATATAAGGTTTTATATAAGACTTAGCAAGACTCCGCTTATGGATTTAGGCTGCATTTTCACTTTTCTGGAAGTAAGCCTCCTTGAACCCAAGAAACTTGTGTGTGGACATATATTGGATGCATTTTAAAAATATACTGCCCCTGAATGCAGCTGCTGTTAAAACACCTACTGAATGTGTTTCATATGCTTTTGAAGTTGCCTGAGCAAGGGCTATCCCCTCAACTTAAGAATACAGATAGTCCTTGTTTAACAATCACTTGTTCAGTGACTGTTCGAAGTTACAACGGTGCTGAATAAGATTTACAACAGATCCTTGAAGTTGAAGCCGTTGCAGCCTCCCCGTGATCACGATTGCAATTTGGGTGCTTGGCAACTTGGCTCGCAATTATGGTTGCAGCATCCCACAGTCATGTGATCACCATTTGTGACCTTCACTGCCGGCTTCTGACAAGCAAAGTCAATGGGGAAGCTGGCAGGAAGTTGCAAATGGCGATTGCATGACGTTGCACTTAACTACGCAGGATTCACTTAATGACCGCAACTGAAACTGCCATCGTAAGTCAGCACAGCCATGTGATATCATACTTTATGACCACATTGCTTAGTGACAGAGTTGCTAGTCCCAATTACCATCATTAACCGAGGACTACCTGTATTGGATCTCTTAAGCTGATGAAGTTACTGCATGAAGAGGCCCTTCTTCAAGTCTTGGGGGAACATCAAGAGCATTCTTTACTTCTCCCCTCTCTCCCATATACACTTCATGTTTTATGGACACCAAATCACTGGCTAGCTCTTGTCATAACTGCATAACATTTTTCTTAAATTCTGTCCCAAGAATGTTGGCTTCTAAAGAATTATAGTGCCAAGCAGATGATTTTAATTCCAGCTCTGTGCTTACCACTTTGTCAGTTTTAAAAAGATCACTGCAAATTAGATTAGGTAGTGAGATAATTTATTGCACAATACTGACACATAACATATTTCAATACAGTTTACACATGAGGAGTTGAAGGGAATCACATTTTGTCTTAGCATTGTTTGCCATTTCAACATAAAGAGTAACTTCCACATTCCAATTAGATTTCACTCATTTTTTTTTTCAAACGGCATTTTGGCTGCAATTTTATACATATTTATCTGACACCCACATTTATATATAGAACTGCACAAAAAGATCATAATGTACATAATGCATCTGAGTAAAATTATTTAAGTGTATAAAGAATAATCATAATGGAAACTATTAAATCCATATAATATATTAAGGATTACATAGTATTTATGTAAAGCACTTATATCCTGGTTATCTCATTTATCCACATAAATGTCAATTTATTTGTACTGAAGGGCAGAGTGAGGAGAGAAAGTTTTAAATTCACAAAATCAACATAGTTCTAGGAAAATAATAATCCTATGTTCCCAAACTGTGTTCAGAAGTGATGATTCTGTATTTTTAGGATTGCAGCCTAAATCATTTCTGAGGAACATTTTTTCTGAATAATTCCAAGTTGCAGTAACGTGCAGTATCCTATCTCTAAGTACTGCATTGATTGTGATACCATTGTTAAAGGAATTTTAATAATTAAGTATACTAAGGTTCTTCTGGACAAATGTTAGATTTGTCACATTGGTCACAGCAGCTACCTCAGTTCCAGAGCTGTTGCACCAACAACTACCTGGGAGGCCCAATACATCAAAGGTCATTAATCTCCCAACAGTCTCACCCTAACCAAAAGACAGGCAGCCAGCACACTAACCTCACTCACAGGTCTCATGTATTAGCATCCTACTCTACCTCTGTACAACAGCTATGCACTGCATAGGAGCCCTTGGGATTAGCAACTGACAGTCACCCAAAACAACAAAAAAGCAAAAAATGACAGGAGAGAAAGAAAAACCCAAGGGGCTCAATTCGTTTGTTTGATGGGGGGCCCATCAAACATTTGATGAACATCAGGATTCAGGAGAGAGGCAAAAAAGTGCATTTTCTAAGGTTCAAATACTCCTTTTCCTGAAAATTCTTCAGCCACCCTCTCTTCCTCCACCATAGGTCTCTGAAAGGATGGCAACCATTGGTCCAATCCAAACCATAAGGACAATGCAAGACTTTTCTGTTTGTTAGGTGAAATGATGTCAGAGCACAGAAAGTGAGCATATGTTGCTAGCTCATCCATCTTACCTATATTGAACTTACGCATTGTGCTAAGCCATATTTTAACTATCACTTTTAAGTAAGCCGTGATTGGCTGAATTAGTGCAACACACCGATCCATAATAGTAGTTTACAAACCATGATAACTGAATTCACATTACCATCAGCCAAATTCAACAAACTGCACTATAGCTTAGCAGTTGAAGAAATACACTGAGTATTATTGGATCAGGAGAACTGAACTATTTTTCATGCCTCCTCTTCTTCTAACCGTCATATCAGGACATAAGCCACTGTGGTTGGCTCAGTTTTAGAATATAAACTGGTCTCAGCAAAGAGACCCATCTCTGCAAGGAAATGTATTTAAATGCTGTCAACAGGTAAAGCTCTCAATGTAAAGAGCAGGCACAATTCATTTTTGTAAGTAATTGTTTTTTTATGAAGAACGTAATCTAGACAGCCTGATGAAACCATGACACATCCAATGAAATGAAATTCTCATTTCTTAGCAGGAAGGTGGAAATAAATTAAATTTCAACACATCTACACATACCCCAACACAGATTTATAGTTAAAACAGTATTTAAAACACAGACCTATGGAATTTTCAGCCATTGTCTTAAAAAATCACTTCTAAATCACCTCCGTATTCAGAGATACTTCATTCTTTTGTTCTAAAGGTTGTAACAACAATGAAATCATGAGGCCAGAAGTGGACGTTGTATAAAATAAAGTGCTGCTATACACTTCTGCCACCAGGTGGCTACATAACAGCCAACTGAGTCTCTCTGCAGAAACAAATCCTTTGAAAAATTCCACTCCAGCAAGATCCACTTTTGCAAAGCAGTGCAAAGCGAGTGAGGGAGGTCAGCAGTGTGTAAGAGCCCTTTAAAAACCTCTGCATGCTCTGTAAGCAACATGATCACTCTTATCTATGCCTGTGACTATTCTGTAGCATCCACATTAACATGCTTCCTTTTAGGAGGATTTTTCTTCTTTGAAGCAAGAAGTGTAGGGCGAATTCCAGTGAGCTCCATAGCTAGGATTGGAGGACAAATCCTCCTGCAAGATAGACAGATTCCAACACATACCAGCAATACCACAGTTCAGAGAACTCAGACTGGTAAAACACAAAGAGGGTTAAACACCAGCCTGCTCTCTTTCATGCTCCTTGTGCTAACGGCCTACCACCATGTGATCTTGAATTCATAGATTGGGCGCTTGCAGTAGTAATGGTTAATCAAGTGTTTGTCACACACCCCAATACACTGGTGGTCCACTGTGATGCCCCTATTGGAAAGGTCCGTCACAATGCAATGGAGGAGGTCATACACATCTGCCACAGCTTCCCATGGCCCAAAGGACACATCCACCTCACAATGGTGCTCAAAAAGCTTGGCCTCTCCTTCACTCCTTTCAAAACGGAGGGAGTTGAAAAATGGGCACTCATAGGGCGTGATGGGCATCTCTTCTTTGAAGACACAGATCTTTAGCTTAGCAAATCGAGCTTTTCTTTGCATTGCCCGCAGCTTAGCTATTTCAATGATTCGCTCTAAGTGTTCTAAAAAGCAAAAGAGAAAAAATGACTGAAATGTTATGAGAGACCCTTTCCAGATACTGTTTTGTCATTAAATTACTTACCAAAGCAAAACAACAACAAAGACAGTATCTCCTTGCAACTGGTAGTGGTAGGAAACAAAATAATCATATAGTTAACTGCTGTCTTGATTTTTAAAGTAACACCTCATCTGAATTCAAGCTTACCTGAAATGGAATATCAAAGGCATCCTGTCCACCAAAATACATATGACTTCAAATGTGGTTTGCTGCACTTGGTAATTCACCTCTTCCTTATGACTCATTTATCCACCCATCCTTGAGCCCACATGAAGCTGTTGGCATAAGGCTTGCTGCCATTGCCAATCCCTATCCTGCCACAAGTGTGCTACTGCCAAATGGTGGTGTCCTTATTTACTGTGCACAGCCCAGGTTAAGGTAAGGAACTCAGCTGTTTTCCTTCCCTCTCCCCAAAGGTCAACCACCTGGTGATAAAGTATCTACCAATCACTCCCTTAAAATGGGCTGAGACAAGAAAGGAGGTGAGTTTTGATGAATGACTATACCAGAAGGTTTAGCCATTTCTCAAAACTTGCTCAAGATATTGTACTATAGGCAATAGATACTGTAGGGTTGGGAAGACTGCAAAGCAGGAGGGAGTGCTCCCACTGCACCACCCAACTCCCTCCTCCACATCTGTTTGTTAGGGTACTTCTAAATATGGGTTTAGTTTGCTCGCAGAAGAACTCTAAACCTGTGTTTAAAAATAGCCTGTCCTAACAGTTAACAAGGATGCAGGAGGGTTGCCCAGTGCAGTAGGAGTCCCACCACAGCATACAACACTGCACATGCCTATCAGCTATTAGTAGGTACACATAGAGTGTGCAGTGTGGTGAAAGGAAAACACTCTTTGCACCACACAGCATTGCACCTGTCAGCTGCCCTGCAGGCTATTTTTTAATACTGATTTTAAAAATTCTGTTATAGCACTAAACATGTTTAAAAATATATGAAGTGGCAATGTGAAAGCCAGCTCACTCTCCCGTTTGATGCACAGTCACTACCAGCAGCAGCCAGGTGTCATTCAACCAGTCCAGGACTCTGGACCAAGATCAACCTGGAGGCCTAGCAAGCTAAAGGGGAAAGCCCAGTTTGAAAGAATTGGACTCTCCTATTGCCAAAAGTAGAATGGTCCTTGGGGGATAGTGCCCTAGGACGGGGGGCACATGTCCTCTCCAACCTAAAGGGGCCAATAGTTGCTAGGTTGATCTACTCCCTACACTCACTTGACAGAACAACTGCAGAACAGTTCCTGAAACACATCAGATTGGACCCAGATGATGAAGGTACTATGGTTTGTTGCCTGCTTAACAGGGAAAAGACTACTTTAAAACCAGAAGAGCTTAGGACAATTTAAGCTGTTTTAGGTATGGGTTGGGGATAAAAGGAAAACAACATCATGACACTGCAAAAAACAAAGATTGCCAGGATATGTTTGAGATACTGTATCCTGATTAGGTACAAGTAGGGAAAATCCCTAAACTCACTAAAATGAGCAAGAGTTGTGAAAGAGAGAATAAAATGATCTGTCAGAAACTATGGCTAACACTTTTTTACTTTTCCATTTCTGAACTTCTAAAACTGGTGACTTGGCAGAAGGCAATAAAACACCACAATGGCTACATTTTCAATTTACCTTTGTAATAGGGCATTAAGCCCAGGAAAGCCTGCCGGACTTTCTCTCCTTTCAGGGGCTGGAGCTCTTCTAGACTGTCTAGCAATGGTCCTATGGAATAATACTGAGCTTCCTTGTAAACAGACCTTACCCGTTCTCTTGGAGGTAGGTCACCAGATCGTAGAAAATTAAGTACATCTCTAAAAAAAGAAAACAAAGCTGCTGAAATGGTTGCTACCCTCTTCCCTTTTCAGAAATTTTACTGACTGTAGCAATTTACTGTTTTATTCATTTAAAGAATTTTAAAAGTGGTTAAAAAGTAAGTAACTCATCAAGTAGCACATTTTCACTTTTAAGTACTTAAAAATATAGATTGCAAGCTCCATTTTTAAGGTCCATTCCCTCTTCGCTCTTGTATGAACTATTTAAAGACAGAAAATGCAATAAATTATTCAGGTGACTAAGGCAGCAGTTATAAACACAGTTTCCTGAGAATAAACTGCATTGAAAGTTGCAGCCTGACATTTTGAATAAATAACCTGAACTGAAACTATAGACATCTGGCAGTATCAGGGAGCAAAAGTGGCTCAGTGAAAATGTATCTAAAACACTGCTTTCCAAAACAGTTACTCTAACATTTTCCAACCTGGATGTCACTTGACTAGCAAATAATCCTTGGCATTCTACAGTATTTTCTGTGCTCCTCACTCTGAAGAAAACATGACTGCCAAGGAGGAAGAGATGCACACGCTGAATTGTCTTCACGATACAAAATTACCCTCCTTGTCTGAGTACTTTGTGAAAAAAAAACAGCACATAGTCAAATAATATGTACCCAAAGAATGTTCCATCTCTGTCAATAAAATATCTGCCCTCAGCATCTGTTGGGATGTAATGCCGGCCACTGAACATGGCTGACAACATGGTATCTTCATGACGTCTCAGTGTTGACAGCCTGGTCATGAAATGGGTGCCTCCGACATTTAGTGGAATCACTTCAGGGAACTGGAAATAATAAATGGTGTTGAAAATTAGGCATAGCATGGAGAAAACAGAAATGTTTTTTTCATTCTCACATAATACCAGAATTCGGGTTCACTCAATGAATTATAAAACTCTCCAAGAGAAGTACATTTGACCCCAACAATGTCTTCTTTCAGACAACAATTGAGGTATATACATGCTTCTCCATTTGTAAAACATCAATCTATTCCATGAGCAGACTGCTTTAGCTTTCTTGTACATTTGTTTTTTTTTAAATAAATTTTGATTTAAAGTTTGTATTTAATATTTTTAAGGATTATTGATTTCATGATTGGAATATTTTGAGATGAAGTGTTATAGAAATTAATAGTAACAACAACTGGCAACAGAGTCAAGACTGCTATAAGAAAGTCCTTCTTAGATGGCTTTAAAAAGGATTAGAGACATTTCTAGAGGAGAAGGCTATCAATAGTTACAAGTCAAACAGCTATATTTCATTTAAGATAATTTATAGAATGTCTGTTTTAATCACAATGCTGGAATAAACATTGCTAGAAACAAAAGGTAGGGAGTTCCCAATAAATGCTATATCAGTCACTCTTAGGAGCAAGTAGGCAGGCTGGCTTGAGAAAGGATAGTTGTTTTGGCATCCTGAGCCCAAGCCATTTAATAAAATCATCACAATTTTGAATTGTGCTGAAAACAAACTGGTAACTAGTGCAGTTGCAGTACAATTGGTGTGATATCAATCATGTGAATGTCTATTACTACCCAAACTGCTGCAAACTGGAAAAATGACGTTTCTAGACAATCTTCAAAATAGGTCCCATATACAGCACAGCATACTGCAGTAAAAGTATCCATATAAAAGATATGTTTCACCAAGGGTAGGTCTGACATTCCCAAGAAGAGCCTAAGCAGAATCAAAGCATAACTGGTCACAGTTGCTAAGACAAAGCAGTCCAGACGTATCCCTAAGCCTACATAAAACTTAAAGTTTCAGTATGTCACTTAATACTAGTTGCTAGGGACCCATAGCACAGGCCTGTTTCCTGGGGCATTTGGTGGGAAGGAGAATGCTGGACCAGACTGCTGTAATTCAGATAGCTTCTACATTCATGACACCATTCAAAACTGACTTGCAGAAACCTTTGGGGAGAATACAGAATCCTAATAAAACAGATTTGGTATTCACAACTTTTGAACTACCAAGAAAACCAACTGCCGAGGGATGAATATGGTCCACCAAAGCAGTGTTCCTCAACCTTGGCAGCTTGAAGATGTGTGGACCTCAACTCCCAGAATTCCCCAGCTATGCTGGCTGGGGAATTCTGGGAGTTGGAGTCCACACATCTTCAAGCTGCCACGGTTGAGGAACACTGCACTAAAGGACTCACAGAACTCCTCCGTTTGTTGTTTTTCTTGGATTCCAAAACCAAGGACATTGTTCAATATGTGGAAGGCCAGCCAGTCAGCTGAAATCAACTTCCTTGGGCCAGGAAAACTCAGCTTAACTTAGAACACACATTTAGAAGAATTATTCTTGCATGTGGAGAGCCAGTGTAGCACAGCGGTGACACTGCTGTCTGGAAATGAGGAGTTCACTCTCAGCCACAGCAGCTTATTTGGTGACTTTGAATCAGTTATTCTCTCCCAGCTCAACGTACCTCATAGGATTGTTGTTGGAAAAAATGGAGGAGGGAGTGCTATGTAAGCCACCTGGAGCTTTTGAACAAAAAGTGGGATAGAAAACTAAGTAAATAAAAATAAATAAATTCAGAACCTAGCAGATGCGGATAACTTCTAACTGAAAAATTCATAATTGTCACAATATTTAAAAGCCAGGATATAAACATATTTTAAGGATTTGAATTTATTTTTAAGTATTGCTTTACTGGAGTTATTTATGTGTTATTATAATTCTACTTCTGATCAGGATGGATTATAATAGCCCATCAATAAAATATGCTTTTATTTATTTTCTTACAGTACTTATATATCACCTAATAGCAAAGGTTCTCTGGGTGATTTAACCCAAGTCACCAGCACAAGCAAGCCTGAACACAGAAGAAAAAGAAATTTGAAAAAGAAGTTTGCATTCAGGACTGCTCCAGAGAAATCATACTGGCAGCTCCTACAAAGGTAGTATTGCCTATGCTAACACAGACAGAATAATGTACAAGGATACAGCATATATTAAATCACTCACCTGCTGAGGAAGCAGGGGCAGGGAGTGCTCTGCCTGGGTTGCTGTTGGAGTGGCAGGCTCCTGAAAATCATCCTCTGCATCTGAGCTCGACATGGCATCGCCCAGGTGTCCACACACTTTGGTCTGCCCCGTGACTACAACCATCCCTCTGGCTCTTGTAACTGGGTCTGCTTGGCAGGCAGCCGTGGCAAGGCTAATGGGAAGTTAAGAGCCATGTTCATCCAAGAGCTTTTCCTTAAGGAAATCTAAGAAGAACAGGCCACTGTGGGGCAGCAGGCACCCAGAGATGCTCCACACTGGCTGTTTACAGGTGTCACTGCTATTCTTGGGAAGTGAGTCACAACCAGTATAGTTATTGTATCTGCTATTATCTACAGGCTCTGAGGCACATGCCTTGGGAGTGCCCCCATTTGCACAGCAGCATCAGGAAACCTTCATGTCAGATGTCGTAGCCAGCAAATCCCTAGTGGAAACATATTTCACTGACTGGTTGTTCAACCTGCTTTTAACTTCAGGACTGTTATTTGCTTATCCAAATTCGACTAACAGTTGGGAATACCTGCAGCTGAGTAGCCATTTGGCAATCCCCAAAGCTGTCAACCACAGCTGCTCTCGGACTGGCCAACGTGTACATGGCCACTCACCTGCTGACAGTGGTCCCAACATCACATCAATAGACAAAAGGAAATATTCCTCAGCCAGTCCTTGTAATAATCAGCAATTTACAGAAATCCACCACCATTAAACAGAATTTCACCATCATTCATAATTTAACAGAAATGGTACCTTTGGGGGAGAAAAAATCATAACACCATATATAAAAAGCATTCAAAATCAATTTGGGCTGCCAAATTTAAGTAGCTGATTCCCCCAGTAGTGGTCGAGAAATGGAAAGCAGGAAATTAAAGGTGGGGAGTTTTTTTGTTTGTTTTTAACCTGGACTTTTATGTGCATGCAGGGATTGCCGATACTGCTTTTAATTATTGTTTCATTTCTTGGTCACTTCAAACATCATGACACATAATGGAGCATAACATCTGGATTGCAAGTAAGCAGCACTGGAGAGAGGTAGTTTACTTACATATTTGAAGTAAAAAATAAATTAGCTTTATTTTGAAGATGAAGTGTGATGACTATTCTTGCTCCTATTTTACACCAGCTAGGATTATATAGTTTAACTTATTCTGAGAACCTAGTGCAAATTTAAGTATAATGGGTGAAAAATACAGCAAGAGAATACTCTAGTACAGACTTTCAGATTTTGGGTCCAAATGTTATAGACCCATAAATACAAAACACTTCATCAGCAAAGTTTTGGTACAGTATCCTCCACATTTGATATTTGTCACAAAATTAAATATTTCTATTTATCATTCTCTACCTTCATGCCCTTTTTTTGTAGATTTCCACTTACTCTATATTTTATATTGTAAATTTTAGACTTGCATACATCTGATACACCCTTTAGTCATGACAAAATATTTGTTCTAAACTGATTTTGAAATTATCTCACCTAATGGATTCCATTATATGAAAAAAATGTTCTCCTAATTTACATGCCACATACCTATTTGCCTTCCTCATATAATTTTTGACTAGTGCTTCATCATCTCTCTGTGTAAATGAATAAATCTGTTTGTATGCTTTCAGGAATGGGTAGTCATATTAGTCTACTGTAGGAGAAACATCAGAGTCTTTTGGCATCTCAAATGCTCATATTTATAATGACAGAAACTTTAATGGGCTCAGCCAAGATTCTCTTTTCCTTTTTGCTCTTACTCAATCTTATTCAATTAGACAGAACAACCTACAGATCTTTTTTCCAATTCACAAACAAGACCTTCATAAATCCCTCATCAAATAAATCCACTGCCATACTGAATTAACACAAATGGTTTGCTTGACAGGGGCTATTAAGAACTAAAATACAAAGACTGAATTTGCACCACCTTTTTCTGTCTGGTAGATCCTCATCCTCTTTTGCTGTCTGAGGAAAGCTGAACACAGATCATAACACCCCTGCTGCTTTGTCCATAGGGACATGAGCACAGGTGGGTCTTTTACCTTGTTGACTAGAAGCAGGAAGCCTAATGCTGTTTCTCAGCTTGATGCCGCATGAGTTGCAAATTATAGTTAAGGCACAGAAGCTTTCCTAGTAGAATGCACCCAAGCTAACTGTGGGACAAAAAAACATCTGAACAGAGCTGCAACCTCTCCTTTAGACTCAAGTGCAAATTCTGTACAAAAACTAAACAAAAATTAAGCAGTACAGTGAAATAAAGACAATGTCCTTTACTTCCCCATCCACAAAGACAGGTTCCAGCTGTACTGCTCCTTGTCCACTACATGGAGAACAAGGGTCCCAGTCCAATAACAAATAACATAGAGTGGCCACATGCAGGCCTTGTTCCAAGCTAGCATTCCCCCGACTGGAGTCCACCAGATATGGGGTGCTACAGCAGCCCACATTCCTAGCCAGCAAGACCAAAGATCGGGCTGGTTATAGTTAATGAGGATTGCAACCCAAAATTTCTGGAGGTTAAGGTTACAAAAGATCCCACCAGAGAGAATAGGCTTCCTTTTTCTCCCTCACCCTCCATTCCCCATTAAGTAAATAAAACGAGAGTCTTGTTTGACAGAAACCAATCAAAAAGAAAAAGAAGGGGCAAAGTTTGGTCCTCACTAAGGACCACGCCCCAAAAAAAGAGGGTCTGCAACCTCCATGCCCTCAAAGGGCCCTGATCTCACGGGAGACAGAGACGGGGCCTCTTCACCTGCTCCCTTTGCCCCAACTCTGAAAGGGGGAGGGGCCTCAAGCTCACTTAGTGCTCGGGGCGGAGCCAGGTTACCGTAAGATCTTCCCCTCGAATCTTGCCTTCCCTACGCTCACCTGTTGGTCTATTCGCCGATGGAAAATGGCGGCGATACTTGCTGCCGCCAAAGCTGCCGCTCCTCGTTGCCTCCCGGATGAAACGGAGTGATATTGCAGCGCTCCTCGCTCAAGGCCCAGCTCCCCAACTGGCTTCCCCGCCCCTCAGGCCCCCGCCATCCGGGTACTTTGGGGCTGACGAGGACAAAACAGATTTATAGGCTGTCCAGTGGATGGAGTAAGGCCAGAAAAAACTCCGCCTCCTTCTCTACTACATCCACCAACTGGCTCAAGCCCTTCTCTGTCTCCCATGGCGACGAGATGCAGCAACGGAAGGTCTCCGGTCCGACTCTCGCGCTTCTTCTGGTTGCCAGGGAGACGGAGGCTCACAACGGGCAGTCGAAGTGATGTATGGAGAATTTAACTTACATCACCAATAAATAATGAATATGCTTCATCTCAGTTGTTTGCTGCCTCATATTAATATATCTCTCCCTTGAAGTGAGGGGAAGCAATTCTATGGGGAAGGAGAGATAAACGTTTGGAAATTATGGCTGTATTCACACAATGCGCTTAACCTGGTTACTGAATTAACCCATTTTCTGGGTTTGCCAAAACATTATACATTAAATAGGTGTTTTTAAGGGGGACAGTTGCCCAGTACTCCACATACTGGCGTGGTGGTGGTTTGTCCATCTGAAGTGTAATTTAGTATTTGAAACCAAATTAAACTAAACGAATTCAGTCATTTTTATTCAAGAATACAAAACTGGACAGTTAAAATGTGACACCTTACTTCATTATTTCAGAGTACCCCAATGGACAAAAACAATAAAAAAAATTGAATTGACCACAGATCTAGAGAGAATTGGGACTCTTCCAAAGAACTTGGTGCACACAGCCTCTGTGTCTTAAAAAGGCCTTGGCTTGAAAAATATATTTTCCTGATAAGTTGGGCTAGCATAACACATTAAGCCACAAAGATAGTAAGGTTAAACTACTATGTTTTACATTGCTGTGTGAATGCATCTGCTAAGACTTTATAAGACTTAGAGGCAAAAAAAGGACAAACTATGACATAGAGGTACTGTAATAAGAGATGAAATTATAAGCCAAATTGACAAACTAAAAAGAACCAAATGCCTGGGTCTAGATGATCTCTATCCAAGAGTTCTTAAATAACTTAAATATGAGCATGTTGATCTTTTCACAAAAAGCTTCTCTTTAATATTGGCTATTTTCCGGTCCTCAGGAACAGACACAAACAAGACCTGGATTTTCAAAAAGTATGAAGGGGTTATAAAGGAAACTTGATGGCAGTTAATTTAACTTCTGTTCCAGGGACATTGCTGAAAGTATTGTTAAAAAGAAAATAACCCAGCACATGGAAGAAAAGATTTGCTGAAAAGAACAAACACGGATCCACAAAGGTATCTAATTAACTTTTTAGAGCCAATTCACCTGCCCTGGAATAAATGGCAAGTGCTCTCATGGATTGGGAACAGATTAAAAAGCAGGAAGCAGTGGAATTAAATGGTTTTTTTTTTTTTTTCAAACAGGAGAGATGTGAATAGGAAGATTCCCTCTGTGAATTATGATAGGACAGTGCTTTTGAGCAGTGAGATTATTACTCAAATTGTTCAACAGACAAGATCAGAAAGGTATAGGGAAGAACTGCAAAAGGATCTCTCCAAACTGGGTAAATAGGCTTCAAAATGGCAAATAGTTCAATGTAAAGAAGAATATCTGTTAACACAAAGAATCCAATCTTCATTTCTATATTAATGGGAAGGGGTGGTAACTGATCAGGAATAAATACAACAGCCAAAGAAAGATAGTAGAATCTTGGAGTCACCATGGATAGCTCAATGAAAATGTCAACCCAGTTTGTAGCTGCTGTAAAAAAAGAAAAGCAAATTCCATGCTTGGTATCATTAGGAGAGGAACTGAAAATAGAAATGTGCATGAGATGGAGATAGCATTGGTCATTCTTGTGGATAGATGACCTTTTTGGAACTTTGATGGAAGTTCTGCACCTTTTCTGGTCCTTCTAAACCTCTCAGTGTCATTCAGTGCTAATGACCATGGTAGCTCTCTGGACTGGCTACAAGCCTTGGGGATTAGCAACATTGTTAGTGCTCAAGATCACCTGCTGAAACTAATTTAACACAAATCAAACTGTCAAGGACAGTAGGAAAAGAAAGCCAGGCTTTCATCTTACATCTAAAGACTGAGTCAGAGCCAGATACTTTTCAGACAATAATAAATTCAACAATATTGGAAAGGTCACCCAAAAGGCCACTCAAATACAGGTAAGCAATTTGTCCTCACAGGAAAGCCTATTTTTATCTGCCAGACAGATGTATGGGGACATGATTTTTGAAAACAGTAAAAAAGACGTTTTGTTCTCTTGAATTTTATTTTGGACACCTTCATTCTAAAGTATGTATAAATTCAATTATTAATACTTTGATGCTGTTACAATTTTAATGTTAAGTAGCCATATTTTAAACATTCTTTTCATGAGCTGCCTCAAAAGCCTACCTGATCAGCAGGGTAACATTTTTAAAAAAATATATTTTACATCATCCCAAATTGCTTTTTCTCCCCTTTCTCCAACCTCTAAATCACCTCAACTCAGAAATTCAGACTCAAAAAATTGCCACATTTAAAGCTTTTATTTTGAAAAATAAAATACAAAAGGCTGTTGGATTGTAAACCTTCGATTTCTTTCTCCACATCTCAAAAACAGTTTTTAAATAATTAAAACATCATTTCATAAGTCAGTTAAAATGGAAAAAGGGTGGGGTGGCAAACAGGCACGGACACCATTTTCCACAAATTAAAAAATGATTGCCCAATCAAGGAAAAGCAATACAGAGAAGCTACCCACTGTATGTGGATATAATGATGGATATGAACTATGTGGGGAAAAAAATAGCTCAAAGGGCAAGGTAAAGTGTATTTAAGAATTAACATAGACATTCTGTGCAATGGTTCATTTCCTGTATTTTGTAAAGGGAAGTGAGGGATAAACAGGACATTCCTCATTTTTTTCATCCTTATGAAGCAGTGACTGTCAATCATCGCCTTGGGAGGTATGCACACAGAGAAACCAACATGCATCAATATGGACACACCCTGCAATTCACACATGAGGATTAGTGTGTTAAATTAGTAGTCTTATGGAAAGCTTCTCAAAAGTTAACATATCTGACATCTTAAATTAGTACTGAAGATACCATTCAAGGAAGGAAGATTTCTATATCAATCTGTTTCTTTTGAGGTTTTAAAACAGTTGCGTAAATGGGAATCAATGCAATTTCTAGTGCATGGGACTGAATCTGCCCATATCTTCTGTGTTTTAGTGTCACAGAGACTAATAGGAAGTATACCACAATTGCACAACTCTCATCAAGTCCAAAATGTCTTATACAGGAGAAATTCCCACCTGGATTCCTCCCCCTTTAATATCTTGATCCCAGAGCCATTCCCTATAAACATTTCCAGCATTTCAGTAGGGCTGCTCTGGAGTCAGTGGTGTAAGAAGAAAGAGAGGTTTACATGACATTATGAAATGGGGAAACAGTCTGAGAAACCAGGTCTTTGTAGATTTTGCCATGGCGCTTTCTTTAAAATGACTCCAACATTCCTAATCAAAATAGAAAACATAAGGTTTCAGCACATCTCCTCAGGATTGAGCAATCCATAGTACATGCACATTTGTTTCCCAATCTTAGTACACAGTCAGGTGGAACAGCCATATTCTGAATCAAACACAAGACTGTCCAAGGTAAAGAATCTAAACAAAACTTCCCAGTATGCCAAGACTAAGAATGTGCAAATTAGTAGTTAATCTAATCTGTTTTACTGTCCTCCTCTCAGGGCATATTTCCACTAACAGATTGATGCCCCAATTTTTATTAAATATTACTGCTCTCTTCTGGAGCAGATTAAAGTTTTTGCTCATTTCTAAAAGTATATGAAGTGGCTGTCATTGTTGGCTTTTTCTCTCTTTTCAGAGCCATATGCCCATAGTAGTGAGGCTCTTTTCAGAGGCCATTTCACCTTTGTAGCACTTCCTGGACTGATCCAGTGATTTGCCCAATTTACATGGCTAGTCTAGGGGATGATGCAGAGCAGAATCAGTCACTGAGGATAGCTCCATATTTCCTACTGAGTGGAGGAGACATTTTTACACCACCAAAAAAGAAGAACCAAGACCTTCAATCATCTCACAGTTTCCACAGTTAGTTGGATTTTGTTTCTGGGAAAAGAGAAATGCTGTTGTGCTGTTGCACAGCTTTCAACCAAGCTTGCCCCAAAGGGCATGATTCTTCCCCACAAATCAGATCTATCTGCCATTAATAGCAACACAAACTAGTTATTTTAACCAAGTCACTTTATTTATCTTTCTTGCCTAGTATTGATCCTCCAACTAGTGGCAACTAAGAACCCAAATAAGAGAGGGATATTCCTTAGCCCAGCTACCTTATAGCTGCTGGAATCAAAAAAGGTAACACGACCAGCATATGTGTTATCAGTGAGCTATAGGTCTACTTCAAAGGATGTCAACCCCCTAACAACAGCTCACAATTTAGAAAGAGTGATTCTCACAGATTCAGAGTAGGCAGGTTTATTGCAGTGAGCAAAGGACTAGGTTACAAAATCTTGAAAATTGGTTTTGTGTACTCTGGTCCTCATTCATCAATATGTTTGGTCTTTTTTCTGACTGACTCTTGGTTTAAAAAGAAGGATATTAACCATTTATTTGATACCACAAAAGTATCCATCTTTCTTACTCTGCAATATTTTGGAAATTTCCATTTTCATTCCCAGAGTCAGAAAATTCCACTGCAAAGGGTTTCCTTCCAAGAAAGACCACCATATTCAGCTTCCAAATATATCAGCATTCAAGGGTCTCATCCTCACCAGCAACATTATGCTTGAATTCACTTTTATTTGTGCACTCATTTTAAGAGGGCTTGTGGCAGACCGCTTCTAAATAGATTGTGCTCAAAGAGGGACAGTAAGACACTCTGCCCATCACCATATACGCTGTGAAACTGTTTCTAAATGCAAGCAAAGAGGATGAAAGACCAAAAAGTCCATTTTATTAACAATTACGTACATTAAGTCACATCCAGTCTTCTAGTTCA